GCCGGTTGCCCAGTGGTTAGAGCGTTGGCCCGCACACTGAAGGGTCTCAGGATCAATTCCTGATCAAGAGCCTGTGCCTGGGTTGCAGGTTTGTGCCCCAACCCTGGTCAGGGCGTGTGGGAGGCAACCAGTTGATGTATCTCTCTCACATCGATGTTTCTCTTCCTCTCTCTCTTCCACTCTTTGAAAAAGCAATGGAAAAATATCTTCAGGTAAAGATTAACAACAACAAAAAGACTGGAAACATATTAGGATAAAATTCTGTTGGGTGAAATGGAAATATGCATTAAGAAAAAATGGAGCTGTGTAAAAATTCAGGTGTTAAAGAGGCTATTCATGTGTTTTTCCAACTGTGTACACCCTTTAAAATGTCATTAGTTCTTTTTTCTTTGGTCTGCTGCATATATATATATATATATATATATATTATTTCAGAGAGGAAGGGAGAGGGAGAGAGAGATAGAAACATCAATGATTAGAGAGAATCATTGATAGGCTGCCTCCTTGATGCAACCCAGGCATGTGCTCTGACTGGGAATCTAACCATGACCTCCTGGTTCTTAGGTCAACACTCAACCGCTGAGCCATGCCAGCCGGGCTAGTCTGCTGCTTTTTAAAATTAATATAATTTGCTTTTTAGAGTAGTTTGGGGTTTACTGGAAAATTGAGCAGAAATCATGGAGCATTCTCAAATGTCACCCTCTCCCCCGCCCCTCCCGGTTCCCTCTATTATTAATATTAACATCTTTAATTGGTTTGACAATTTGTTACAATTAATAAGCCAGTATTGACACATTATTATTAACTAAAGTCTATAGTGTACATGAAGGTTCCCTCTTGGTGTTGAACATTCTTTGGGTTTGGACAAATGTAGAATGACATATATCTGCCATTAAGTTTAAACCAGTGGTTCTCAACCTTCCTAATGCCGCAACCCTTTAATACAGTTCCTCATGTTTTGGTGACCCCCCAACCATAAAATTATTTTCGTTGCTACTTCATAACTGTAATGTTGCTACTGTTATGAATCGTAATGTCAATATCTGATATGCAGGATGGATTTTCATTGTTACAAATTGAACATAGTGATTAATCACAAAAACAATATGTAATTATATATGTGTTTTCCGATGGTCTTAGGCAACCCCTGTGAAAGGGTCGTTCGACCCCCAAAGGGGTCGCGACCCACAGGTTGAGAACCTCTGGTTTAGACAGAGTAGTTTCCCTGCCCTAGACACCCTCTGTGCTCCATCTATTCATCCCTGCTTCCCCCCAATCCCTGGGAACCACTGATCTTTTTTACTGTCGCCATAGTGCTACCTTTTCAGAATGTCATCGAGTTGGAATCATATGGTATGTAGCCTTCTCAGACTGGCTTCTTTACTTACAATATGAACTTAAGTTTCCTCCAGGTCTTTTCATGATTTGATAGGTCATTTCTTTTTAGTGCTGAACAATATTCCATTGTCTGGATGGACCACAGTTTGTTTTATCTCTTCACCTTTTGAAGAACTTTTCAGTTTCTTCCAAGTTTGGGCAATAAACACCCATGTGCAGATTTCCGTGTAAACATAGGTTTTTATTCCTTTAGGTAAATTGCTGAATCATATGGTAGGAACATGTTTCATTTTGAAAGAAACTTCCAAAGTGGCTGAACTAGTTTGCATCCGCCAGCAGTGAATGCGAGTTCCGGTTGCTCCGCGTCCTCACCAGCATTTGGTGTTGTGTGTGTTCTGGATTTTGTCGATTCTAAGAGGTGGATAGTGATATCTCATTTTAATTTGCATTTCTCTGATGACATATGATGTTAAGCGTCTTTTCATGTGCTTATTTGCCATCTGTGTATCTTCTTTGGTGAGGCGTCTGCTCAGACCTTTTGCCCATTTTTTAGTTGGCTTCTTTGTTTTCTTATTGCTGAGTTTTAAGGGTTCTTTGTATATTTTAGATAACAATCGTTTATCAGATACATGTTTTGCAAATATTTTCTCCCAGTCTGTCGTTTCTTTTCATTCTCTTAATAGTGTATTTTGTGGAACAGAAGCTCTCTCTCCGGAGGGGAGGGGGAAACTATATGCTAGTGGAGAATTGGCTTCACCTGGGGAGGCCGAAACCCAGAAAGACGGGAAGGTGGTTCCTTTTTAATCCTCACCTGAGGATAAGTTTATTGATATTAGAGAGGAATGGAGAGAGAGGAGAAACATCGATGTGAGAGAAACATCTATTGATTGCCTCCCGTATGCGCCCCAGTTGGGATTGAACCTGCAACCTAGGTATGTGCCCTGAATGGGAATCGAACCCACAACCTTTTTGGTGTGGGACAACGCTCCAACCAACTGAGCCATCCAGCCAGGCAAGACAGGAAGGAGCCCTACCTCAGGCGGGGACAAAGGAGCCTTTCAGATTGACACAGGACACAGAGCAGGGTGTTCGATGATTGCAGATATCTTCCTCAGGGTTTCGGGATCTGTTGTGTCTCAAACGGTTTTCAGCACCTTGCTTCAATCAGTGACATTACAATTGGTAATTTAGCACAGAGAACTGAGACAAGATGTTTGTAGAGCTGAGTTGCAGGGGGCCTCAGGCTCAGGTTGTGTCCAGCTTCAGCTAATGCTCCAAGTGAATTCAGTGTTTGTTTGAGGAGGTGCTTCCCTTCCTACCCAGCTGAGAGCCCCTGAGGCTGCTTCAAGCTGTCTGTTCACTGCTCATCGCCCTACCTGGCCCAGTTTTTTGCATGTTAACATTTCTGAAATCTAGAGGCATCTAAGGATTATAACTCAGAGCATGCTCTCATTTCTTAGTGGCTCATAAAACACTGGTACATCTTAAAATCTATGCTATCTCAGAGTCCATGAAGTAAGGGAGTCAGTATCAACAAATATTAGTGCATAAAGTCTGTGACTTAAGCAACGTGACCGCCACTTTTAGATCTGCATTCTTCTGTGAAATGGGCAGTGACTGGACTGAGCCCACATTGAAGCACATTCTGAAAGCCAAAGGAACAGTAGATGCCAGACATATTTGTTTGTTACAATTAAATCATTCCCCCCCCCCCCTCTTATTTCTACAAGGACAGAGCCCAGGAGGTCAAGGGACTGGTGGGGGGGGGGGGGGCCAGGTGGCTACTTGGTGACTTAGCTGACTAGCCCCTGCTCCGTGCCTGGTGCCAGGTGCCTCTCAGGGTGGAACAGAAGGAGCAGTCAGTCTTCCCAGAGCCTCAGTCTGTGTTTCTGGAGGCTTCCTCTCTGCCCAGCTCAGCTCTGGTGGGCAGAGCTCAGTCAAGGAGAGGCCAAGGGTTGGGGAGAAACAGGCCTGTGGAGTAAACCTGGAAGAAGAGGGACAGTTTTTGGCACATTGCTGTATTTTTATACTTGAGAATTGGGGACCTTGGACCTTCGCATGCAGATTTATGCCAAATGAGATGCAAATCAGGGCCCCGCTTTTCTGAAGTCCTGGCCTCTCTGTCTCCTAAGACCTTGACCCTGGGACCTCAGCTGGCTTCTAAGAAATAAAGTGCGTATGGGTTGGGGGAGGGAGGAGAGAAAAACATCAATTTTACTAAAATGTACTCACTGGGCAAATGCATCAGATATGACACAAAGCACTTAAGAAAAAGAGGTAAATCAGGAGGGGAAGGGGAGGTGGGGACATGCAGGGGAAGAGGAGTGCAGTGGGGTCGGAGAGGCCCCGGGCAGCAGCCTGGGGCATTTCTTTGGATTGGCAGTAAATGAATGATGGTCAAATGGGCGCAAAGCACCACAACGTGCCCTGGCCCGAAGAGGCCCGAGAGCGAGGGATCCTGCGCTTCCAGCATTTTCGTCTTGGTTATCTCCCGGACTCCGCGCGTGGGGCAAGCGGACCCTGGCGGGAGGCAGAGGGAAGGCGCCCCCTGCCGGCCGAGCGCGGAGACGACCCGGCCCTTCCCGGGCCACGCGGCGGGCGGGCGGGCGGGAGGCCGGAGGAGGGGCGTCTGCAGCTCGCCTCCAGCCTGGGCGCCAGACGCCTCGACTCCTAAAACTGCTAGGCGGGCGGCCACCGACTGCCAGGGTGGGTGTGTGTGACACGCTCAGCTCCAGGCCCCCGCCCGCCCGCACGGGGCGCGGCCTGCGGAGCCAGCGAGGGTTGGCCAGAGCGTGGGGTCCGCCACGCACGGCACCTGCGCTCCCCGCACGCGCCCACACTGCTACCCCCAGACGTCCGCACCCCCACGGCACCCCGCGCTCCCGCACATTCACTCGCATTCCCCATCCTCGGCACCCAGCGCCACCCTCGCAGGAACCCCGTACTACAGATCATTGCGCATCTCTCTCGCTTTCGCACACCGATCTCCCCGCTGCAGAGAAAGATAAACATGAATGATGAGAGTCTATCATCGATCAGCTGCCAAAGCATGCCCCCTACTGGGGCTCGAACCCACAATCTAAGCATATGCCCTGACCTGGAAATGAACCAGGACCTCCTCCTGGTTCATGGGTCAGCGCTCAACCTCTGAGCCTCCCTGGCTGGGTGAGTTATATTTTCTTTCATTAAAAATTAAAATACGTACTGTTATTATCACATCTCATCGGAAGTAGGAGATTATGATGAAAACCCTGGATCGGGAGCTCCTCAAAGTCAACAATTACCTGCCCAA